TGATAGATGCCACAACATGGGTGGCCCTTAAATACATGATGCTGAGTGAAAGCAGCCAGTTGCAACCTATACAGTTTGATTCCACTTACACGAAATCTCCAGAATGGGTAAACCTATATGTGGACAAAGCAGATGAGTGGTTGCCAGGGGAGGGGGCGGGGGGATAGATAAAGGGTAAGGTGCTTCTTTTTCAGCATAAGAAAAATCTAAAATTGATTGTGGTGATGGTTGAATCAACCTGTAACTAGACTAAAACCCACTGAATTGTACACTTGAAATGGACTCATGGAATACGAAACATACCTCAATAAAACTGTTGGAAAAACTGTCACTGAACCTCACACACCTGGGTAGTCAGAGTAGACGGATCGTCTCTCACGACATAAACTTTGAAAACACAGGTGCTCGTGCCCATCTAATATTCTGACAGGTGCCTGCCTGTCAGGTAACCAGCAGAAACTGCCGTCTGCAGAGGCTGGTGGGACTGGCTGTTCCAGGCAAGAGGACGGGGGCTTGGGGAGAGGCGGGCAGAGGGCTTGCTTTCAAGATACAACTTCACTGCAAAATTGCGTGGATTTTTTGTTTGTTTGTTTGATTCACTTTTGTATTCATTAACAAAGTATCTCTGTTCTCTGTCCCTCGTGTTTGTTTTTTTTTTTTCTCTCATTATTTTCCTACATTCCCATCTTCTGGTGCATGTAAAAAATGTAATCATGGTAAGACACACATAACGAAGTCACCATCTTCACCTTTTCAAGCGCACAGTTTAGTGGCATCCAGCACCTCCACGCAGTGGTGCAGCCGACGACACCGGCCGCCCCCAGAGCTCTTGTCAGGACGCGCAAAGCGGAAAGAACCTGCATGCTGGACGGCAACTCCTGTTTCACTGCCCAGCCCCTGGCAGCCACCCTTCCACTACATCTTCAGAAATCTGCTTGCAGTAGGCCCCTCAATCCAGCAGAGTCGTGCGGGACCTGTCCTTCGGTGACTGGCTCATTTCACTCAGCAGAATGCCTGCAAAGTTCATATATATATGAACATCTATCCTATGAATGCTTTATTACTTTTCCAGTTAAAAAGACTAACTGTCAAAAATATCACAATATAGCTCTGGCTGGTGTAGCTCAGTGGATTGAGCGCAGGCTGCGAACCAAAGTGTTGCAGGTTCGATTCCCAGTCAGGGCACATGCCTGGGTTGCAGGCCACGGCTTCCAGCAACCGCACATTGATGTTTCTCTCTCTTTCTCCCTCCCTTCCCTCTCTAAAAATAAATAAAATCTTAAAAAAAAACCCACCCAGGATGGTTATACACCATTCTTATATATATATATAAACAATATATACTTCTAATATAAAGTGAAGGGGAAAGCAGGAATCAAAGCTTTGTGTCAAATATCATTATAACTTTGAAAAAAATATCACACACGGTGGAACTCAGCAGAAAAGCTGAGAAGTTTCTAGCGATGGCAGTGACCGTTTCAAGATGGGTTACGGGTGCATTTTATTTTCTATTTTTATGTTTTTCTCATTCTTCTAGAAGGAGCATGGTATGTTTATAATCAGGAAAAAGCAAATGCCCTGTGAAAAGTAGGTATGTCACCTTCAGAGAAAAAGAGAGCTTCACCTGAACTTTCTCAGGATACCTGGAGTTTCCCACATTCCTCGAGCCCCATAAATTAACTGCACTTTCCGGCGTCAATTCCTACGTCCCATCTGGAGGTAGGAAAATAACATTTATCTTGGCCAACGAGCGCCTTCAGTAGGTGAGTCTGAGGTCAAAGGACAAGAGAGTGATAGCGGGGTGTTTTCGGCCTGAGTTATCTGTTTGGCTCCTGCCGGGCCTCCCCCCGGGCGATCCTGCCCCACATTTCCCACTGTGGAGCTGTCTCCCTGGGGAAAGGGGGCTCTTCCCGCGGCACTGGCTCGGGAGAGCTGGTTGTCCCTGCAGTTCAGTAACCTCAAGGGACAGCCTGAAAGTGGCTGTAGTGGAAGTATTCATACCCTGCAGAACGGAGGACCCTACAAATTACCCACCCCCACCACCGGCAGCCAGTCTGTGGGCAGACATCCGCCAGCACACCTCGGGGTGCTTTCATGGGGGGGGGGTGAGCCATCCTCCCCTCCTCAGCCCTTGGCTGCCCGTTTCTTAGGGAACTGGGGGTGGTCGTTTTCCCGATTCTTCTGCAAGTAGCCCTTTGCCTTCTGGGAATGGATCTGCCCTCCAGGTCCTCTGGTTCTCTGCCACTTGGAGACACCAAGCTGCACCCTCCTGGCCTCGAGTTCAGAAAGGAGTCGAAAATACGCAGACATTTGACAACTGTCCATTTTCCATTTTTCCATCCCATCCTGTCACCTTCTTCTTGGAACTTCACCTGATTTCGGGAACTTTCTTGCTTAGCTCCTCTACCCCAATTCTTTTCTTCTGGGCAGGAGTCAAGAGGAGGAGGGGGAAGACGGTGTTTTGGAAGGGTTAGCAGTCTTTCTCCTGCAGAGCCAGCCAGGTCCTGCTCCTGCGCCTTGAGGTGCCAGCCTGTGTGTCCCAGGCCCATCCAGGGGGACGCAGGTAAGATGTTGTCATTTACCTCTTAGTACCTCTTAGTGAGGGGCCCAGGGCTGGACCCGAGGGGCCAGGCTGCTACCCCTACCTGTTCCTGCCTGGCAGCCCTTTCTGAAGCCCCCCAGGAGAACATCTCTAGGAGGAGCAGGTTGTGGCTAAGAAACCTTTCAGCATTACTTCTAGGAAGGGGACATGACAAGGGGGGTAGTGGCCAGAAATAAAGGTTGCTGGAGGGCTTCAAAGACCCAGGCTGTAGGGGGGCTGGCTATAGAGTCGGGCGGGAGCCCCATTCTCTTCCTCCCTCCAAGACTGATCAACACAGCACTGCCTCAGACCCGGGTTCAAATCTGGGCTCTGCCACTTACTTGCTGTGCAGCTTGGCCTCTCGGAGCCATCCGTAGGTTGGGAGTGGTAACGCCTGCCCCTCGGGGTTGTGCTGGGGATCCGTGAACTAACATATGAGAAGCACGTGGTAAGTTTTTTGAATTGATGGGAGGGAAAAGCAAGACAAAACAGAAGCAGCCATGTGTAGCCGACTGAGCAGAGAGGTGTCTGAGCCCCCTGTTTAACACATGGGCTCTGCCAGTGTGCGTCTCACAGGGATAGCCCCCCAGAGCGATGCGTTGAAGACCCTTGTGAGTCCGTTTGTACATGTCGACTCACTTTACCTTCACCACAGCCCCATGAGGTGAATATTAGCTATTACGTGCAGTTAGTGAAATGGTGACTCCCCCCACACCCCCAGCTTACTGGCCACTGTTCTAGGCAGGGCACTTTCTACTGCCCAGCGTAGCTGGGAGTAAGGCCAGATGTCAGATCAGGTGTTCCCTAAGGGCTCCTGGCTCAGGGTCGGAGGGCGTGGGCGTGCCCAGACAGCGATTTCGGGGCTTCCTTCAAGCCCTGCTCAGAGGAACACCCGTGTCTGCTGTCCCTGGGACTCCCAAAGCAGCCAGACCATGGCAGCCTCTGCGTGAGTGACAAGGTTGGAACTTGGTTTGGCAGGACTTGGAGTCGGACAGACATGAGTTCCAGTCCTGGCTTTACCACCAACTGGTTCTGTGGTCTGGAATTTAACCTTTTCTAGAACCGTAGGTTTCTCACTTATAAATTGAGATCGGATGATTCCTTAGGTCCAAGGGTTGCAGGGAGGGCCCAGGGAGACGGAGTTTCTGAAGTGGCTCTGGAAAAAGGCCCCGGCCGTGCCAACGTGAGGGGCACAGTACATGCGAAGGAGGCCGAGAACTGGTCGTGAGAGCCACGCATCTGACTCAGCAAACAATTCGAGGGTGTGCTCTGCGTAACTCCCCGTCCCCTTCCCCCCAGCAAGGCACCGACTGAGTCACAGAAAATTCCAGATCCTTAGCTGAAAACTTGCCAATGGTTGATCTGACTTATATCTCAAGAACTTCATTGAGGATGTGAGGGGATTGTTGAAAAGGCTGACAAGCTGCATTATCAAAACCAACGGACTTTCATTTGCTTCTTTAACTGCTATATATTGGGTGATAACAAGGTGCCAGGCGCTGGCAGCAAGTGCAGGAACCGGCTGTCTAAGACAGACTTTACTTTCTCATCACAAAGTAAAGGAGGACAATGCAGACGAAAGTGGGAAGGAAAGGAGGAAAACTATCAGGAGCTGGCGGGAGAGTTCAAGTCCCGGAGCGAAAAGAGGGAGAAAAAGGCTGTGCAACTTTATGGCTCATTTCACCGGGCGAACTTTTTTTTTTTTATTATTGCTTCCAGGAGGATTTCATCATGGAAGAAGTATTTCAATAAGGGGCCTTTGAGCAACAGAACAAATGATTTTCTTAATAGCTGTTTTTGTTGTTCCCCCAACATTGCATGATGAGGTGATGGGGAAGTTTTCCAAAAGAGAAAAGTTGGAAGAACACAAACCACCGTATCTCCACTTCCCGGGGTATACAGTTACCGCTTTAATGTATTAATTGCAACTTGGTTTTACAAGAGGAAGTTTCTGGTCGGGCTGTTTCAAGTATCAGCTCTTCCTGAGGATGTCACAGCCGGGCGGGCGGCCGTCCCCAGTGACAGCAGGACGGGATGCGGGAGTGACAGAGGAGAGAGGAATGCAGTGTGGCGTCTTCTGGGAAACGGACTGGATGGGGGTGGAGGAGCCCAAAAGGAAAAACAAAACAAAACAAAACAAAAAAACACACACGCTTCTGAGAACCAAGTTCCTCTGGCTCCCGGGCCCTCGCTCGGACTCGTGGTCTCGGCCAGTTAATAGGACAGGAGTCTCGTGGCTGCCTTTGGCCGGGAGGTCTAAGGGATCATCTTTCTCCTGCTGTCGACTGGCCTGCATCCTGCCAAGGGTGGAAAAGGCAGCGATGGCGGCCCTGGCGCGCGCGCCCGCCCGCAGCACAGGAAAACACATGGCAATCCCCAGAGAAGCGAAGCCGGGACACCGAGGGGACCCTGAAATCGGTAGCTTGGCAGCCAGCCCCTCCGGCTCGCGACGCTGCTCCGGGCGCTGCAGCCGGAGCACCCGGGAGGGAGGCTCCGGCGGCCCGGGGGCAGGGGTGCCGTCCTGCGGCAGCTGCAAAGCTCTGCCCGGCCCAGCTGTCCCCGCGACTCCGGGCTGCGTGCAGCTCGGGGCGGGGTGGGCTCGGGGAGGGCCCAGCCTCCGCGCTCCTCCCCGCTGGCCGGGCCAGAGTCGGCTCGGCGAGCCCAGGCGAGCGCCCTTTGCATAAAGCCCTCCTCCTTGGCCAAGGTAGAGGAAGTTGGGCTCCCGCCTGGATGGGAGGCGGGAGGGAGACCTGCTCCTGTTGTTTTCCGCCGGCGGCAGAGGGTGCGGGCACGAGGGGCGGGGTGCACCCTCCCGGCCGGGCCGAGCGCTCCGGAGGCAGAGTCTCACTGGGAGAGCTGCCCAGCGCCGCTCTCAGCCCCGACATCGGACTCACCCCAAGCATCCTTCCCGGGCGCTGGGCGCTGTGGAAAGGGGAGCTGTTCACTCGGTCGTCCCGAGGACCCGGGAGGAGCACTTGGTACCCGAGGGGCCGGAGCCCTGAGGGGCGCACGCCCGGCCCGGGCAGACCCTGCGTCGCCTGAGGGGCCCCTGCCCGCTCGTGGTGCGAGATGGCCGCGCGGGTGCCCGAGCCGCCCCGGGTGCTCCTGTGCCTCGCGGCGCTGCTGGCCCGCTGGGTCGCCGCAGGTAAGGGCCGCGATCTGGAGGGAAAAGTTGAGTTTCGCCAGGCAACAGTGGGGAGGAGGGGAAGCCAGGGACTGAATTCCCTCCGACTCTTCCGACCCGGACCCGGTGGTGGTGGTGGCTGCTGCTGCTGCGGCCGCGAAGCCGCGGGGGGTGGGTCTTGAGTTTCCTGCTCGCGGCTCCGCTCTCTTTGCAGAAAGGAATTTTCCCCGGCGCTGTCGCTCGGTGGAGGGTGATCTCTCCGTGCTCTTGGGGCGGGCGGGCAGCCGGCAAGGCTACAAGGGCCTGCGGGGAGCCGATGGGAAAATCGCGGAAATTGAAGATGGGAATTTTGAAACTGAGAAAATTAAGAGGCACGTGGAGGGGGGAAAGTGTTGTTTCTAAGCGTCGGATGTAAATTCGCTTTCTGGTTTTACTTGCTGAGCAGGTGCTTAAAGTCGAGGTTCCTTTATTTTCCTCTCCTCCCTGCCTCTCTGCCCAAGGTTGAACTTGACGTACACCTGTAGCCTGTGGGTTTCCCTGCACACCTCTGCTAGGAGACCTAGGTGGACTAGCGCATTTAAAGCCGTGCTTTCTTATTCACTTTTTTTTTTTTTTGGTAATAATTTCAGGCTTATAAAAAGCTCCCCCTACACTTGACATGATCTCTTACCCCTGACATGATTGTCAAAAGGTCTTAAATAGTTCATCTGTGCTCTGCCTTGCAACAGTAGAGCAGAGGGTCGGTTACACACAAATGCATTATATAAAAAGATTGAAAAAGTAGCTTTACGTTTAACCCACCACTGAATGCATGTCTGCTGTGCGCAGGGCAGCGTGACAGGCACTGAGAGGTCTTGGGTGGAGGGAAAGAAGAGGGAGCCAGGTGGTAGTGTAGCCTGCCACAATTCTTGGGGCGTACTGTTTTCTGTGTCGCCCAGTCCCCCACGCCCAGCTAATCGCTTGTAGGTTGCTGCAGGAATTGCTCCCTGAGCTTCCTAGCAGCAAGTGCCAAAAGTTCCTAACTGTTAGGCTAACACAAGTTTTTATTTTGTTTTGTTTTCAGCAATCATTTGAAAACAGTAAAATTTCCCGTGTTCCAGGTTTCCAGTTTATCTGGAACAAAACTTCCAGTTTATCGGGAGATCTGGCAGCCCAGGGCCTCCTACCTGGAACTGAGCAGTGGTCACCCCTTTAATCTAGGGGTGTGACCCCAAATTTGTCTCGCCTCGCCCTGTTGTGTTACTTACTCCTGGCCCTATTTTGACTTAGTGGTCACTGCGTTGGGCGGGGGAGGGGGGAGGAAGAAAGGATGGATAGTCTGCAAGGGGCTGTCTCTGAAAGCTCGTTCCCCCCCACCCCCCTGCCCCCCAGCTATGTGCCTGTTTACTGCACTGGGAACGCCAGGGGCCTGGGGACACCAGACCCAGGTTTGGAATCATCATCCTGGAATGATGGGCTTTCAGGCTGACTGTGGCTCACTGCACAGGAACGCTTCCTCTGCTGCTGTGCCAAGTTTTTTTTTTTTTTAAACCCTCACCTGTGGACGTGCTTAGTGATTTTTAGAAAGAGGGGAAGGGAGGGGGAGAGAGAGGGAGGGAAGAATCCATGGATCGGTTGCTTCTCATAAATGCCCCGATGGGGGACCAAACCCGCAAACTAAGCATGGGCCCTGACCGGGGATCAAACCTGCGACCTTTCAGTTTAGGGGATGACACTCCAACCGACAGCCACACCGGCCAGAGCTTGCCCAGCTATTTTGAAGCCTGGGCCCAGTTCACCTTTGTGTACAGTGCTGAGGGCTTCCCCAGCTTGTTATATTTTTGATTTTTTTCTAAAAAGAAATTTTTTATTGATTTTAGAGAGAAAGAGGAAAGGCGGGGGAAGAGAGCTGTTCCACTTATTTATGAATTCGTTGATTGCTTCTTGTATATGCTGTGACTGGAGATCGAACCTGCAACCCTGGCGTATCAGGATGGCTCTCTAACCAACTGAACAGCCTGGCCAGGGCACTGTTTTTCAAAATGGGAGTTGTATTGGGAAAAAAAAAATCTGTCTTTTTCCTGTCCCTTAACTTCAGACAATATTCATACCTCCACTGGTGCCTCAGATGGTAAACCCCAGGTCATTCTTGGGGGAAAGTTGCTGGGAAAGAAAAAAATAAATGCTTAGGTACAATCCCAACTCTAAATGACACTGTAAGGGCAGCCTGGGGAAAATGATCATTTCTATTGCTTTCTCCTGTGTTCCATGGGGAGACACCAGATGAATGACTTCTAGCAGCACAAACTGTGTTCACTGTGTCTTATTGCCTCACCCTGTCTGGTTGGGACCAGAGTGAATCCCTGTGACCTGGAGGAGTGAAAACCTGAATAGCCACCTCAGCTCTCCCAGCAACTTATAGGGGACCTTAAGTAAATTACTCCAGCTTCCTGAATGTCAATTTTCTCAAGGTACAATGAGGGCTAGAGGACAACCTGTCGTGGAACAAGGGGACTCCAGGGACTATTCTTTCTTTGTTTCACAGACATCACTAATTGATGACTGTATTCTTCTGCACTGAGCTGGGACTCAGCCTGCCTCATCTTTAACCCAGCCAGCCAGGGATGAAGATTTTTTAAAAATATAAAAAAAAAAACCCCAAAGAATGACCCTGGCTGGCGTAGCTCAGTGGATTGAGCACGGGCTGAGAACCAAAGTGTCTCAGGTTTGATTCCCAGTCAGGGTACATGCCTGGGTTGCAGGCCACGACCCCCAGCAACCGCATATTGATGTTTCTCTCTCTCTCCCCCTCCCTTCCCTCTCTAAAAATAAATAAAATCTTAAAAAAAAAAAAAAACAAAAGAATGGAGCGAACAAAGCCAGGAGGAGAAGTGAAGTGCCTTAAAATGGTTTTTTCTTCTGTGGTTGTGTCCTTCTCTTCCGTGGAGGAGAAGACAATGTTAGCTCAAGTTACAAGACTAAAGTTTCACCAGAGCTTTTCCACCTTCCTTCATTCCTTTGCCGAGGAGCCAGGGAAGGGCGGTCTGCAGGTCTCAGGAACACACGTTGCATTTGTAATTCTGCAGCTCGGCTTCTTTCTTTGGTGCGGATCCTCACCCAGCTCTTGGGTGCCCGAGAGCCTGACTGTTGTAGCATAATTCTCACCTGCTTTTTAAAGTGATGGTTCAGAAGCATTCCTTGCTCTTTTGGAACCTCTAGCATTAGATGGCATTCTCTGCCTTCCAGCAAGTGGCTTAGACTTATTTCATCTTGTCCTGGCGTTTGGGCGTGGTGTGGCCAAAACGGGGAGAGAATCGGAACCTCCCGTGGCTTCAGATCTTTTCAGTGGAGCTCCTTCTACCCAGCCGCAAATGGGAAGGAGTCCCAGAGGCAGGAGGCAGGTTTGTTTTTATTTTTACAACAGCTCTGTTGAGATATAATTCACATGCCATAAAATTCATTCTTTTAAAGTGTACAGTGTATGGTTTTTAGTACAGTCCCAAGATTGGGCAACCATCAGCACTAAGTAATTCCAGAACATTTTCATCCCCCCCCAAAGAAGCCCTGTACTCATTAGCAGTTGCTCCCCACTTTCCCACTCCTCCGCTGCGTCTGGACCTGGACAGCTGCTAATTATTTCTTATCTCTGCATGTGGATGTGCCTGTACTGGACATTTCAGATAAACAGACTCACACAAGTGTGTGGTCTTTTGTGCCTGCCTTCTTTCACTTAGAATCATGCTTCCAAGATTCATCCGCGTTGTAGTATGTGCTTCATTCCTTTTTATGGCCCACACAGTGTTCCCATTGCATGGATAGACCTCATTGTATGTATTCATTCCCCAGTTGATGAGCACTGGGGTTGTTTCTGCCTTCTGACTGCTACGAATAATGGTGCTGTGAGCATCCATGCACAAGTTTTCGTGTGGGCACATGTTTTCATTTCTCTTGGGTCTACATACACCTAGGAGTGGAATTGCTGAGTCGTACAGTAACTGTGACCTTGTGAGAAAATGCCAAGCTTTTTTCCAAAGTAGCTGCGCTATTTAACAATCCTACCAATTATGTATATAAAAATGCCCGTTTCTCCACACCTTTGCCAACATTTGTTATTGTCTTTGATGTTAGCCATTTTAGTGGGTGTGAAATGGTAGGTATCTTGCTGTGGTTTTGTTTGTGATTCATGTCAAGTACCGGCCAATAATCCTGACAGGGTAGGGCCTCCATGTGTAATTCCCTCTGAAAAGACACATACCTGATTTTTTTTTAACTCTTAATGTGGAGGGACCATGCAAAAAAGATTGTTCGGAGATCGAGAAAGGTAGTAATAGTCTGACCCTTGCTTGTGCAGAACTGGAGGCCGTCGCCATCGGAGAAGCTCGCGAGAACGTTACTCTGCACTGCGGCAACGTCTCAGGAGCACGGGGCCCGGTGACCTGGTACCGGGACGACTCGGAGCCTGTCTTCCTCGTCTCCTCCAACTCCAGCCTCCCGCCCGCCGACCCACGCTTCTCGCTGGTGAATGCCAGCTCCCTGCACATCGAGGCACTGAGCCTGCGGGATGAGGGGAACTACACCTGCGGGGAAGTCCTGAATGAGACGCGGTGGTCCCAAGTGTGGCTGCAGGTGGCCAGTAAGTGGGCCGGGAGGGCACCGGCCCGGCGGGCGGCGTGGGTGCTCAGGGCACGAGACCGGAGGAGCGCTTCGGAGCCAGGGGCCTGGGTTTCATTCCGGGCCCGGCCACCTGTACGCTGAGTGACCTCTCGCACCTGTATTTCCTCATCTGTAAAATGCCGATAAAAAGAATTCTTGCCTCATAGAATTGCTGTGATGAATAGATACCAGGTGACCTATATAAAGTGCTATAAGTGGCTCTTGGCGTAGTAGTTAGCTATTACTTTTAGCTTGTCGTTCATGTCATTTTGCTGTTAATATCATCTTATTATGTATGCAGCAAAGTCAGAGGATAGCGTAATTGAGTCAGACGGCCCAAGAGTTCCAATCCTAAGGCTGCCCTTTAGTTCTGTATCGTTTTGAGTAACAATATCTCTGAGCTTTGGGTTTTCTTATGTATCAACTGGGGGTAATACACTGCACACCCTAGCAGGTAGGTGCCCTTGCGTGACTGTGCACAGCACAGGGCTCGGTGTGAGCCGCTGCCGCTGCGCTTTCCAGCCACACAGTGTCCGTGCCCACGTGTGAGTTCAGCGCGTGGTGTTGGCAAGCTCCCGCTCGTGGGCCATGTCCAGTCTGCCGTCTATTTCTGTAGGGCCTGCAAACCACTCCTGTGTTTTTACATTTTTAAATGGTTGGGAAAAAAAATCAAGAGAAGAATCATATTTGTGACATGTAAAAAATTACCTGAAATTCAGATTTCAGTTGCCCATAAATAAGGTTTTTATTGGAACCCAGCTACACTTGTCCACATGAACCTCTGATTGCCGTTGGTGCTACAACAGACCGTTTGGCCTGCAGAGCCTGACATGTGTATTCTCTGTCCCTTCACAGAAGAAGTTCGCGGGTCACTTGTTTAGAGGGGTTATCCACGTTCTGTATCTAGGCTGTGCAGTTGGTAGAAATACCCACCTGGTCACTTGGCTGCTCCCCGGTTTCCTCACCTGTAAAATAAGGGATTTGCTCATTCTTCTATTCAGCATATGCATACCGAGAGCCCGATGCCAGGTGCTGTTCCAGGCGCTGGGCCCCAGGACAAGCAAGGTCCCCACCCGCGTGGAGCCGATCCCCTTGTCGGGGGGCAGACAAGACGGCAGCGAACAAGCAGGTGCATCAGGCAGTGCCAGAGTGACAAGTGCTATGCAGGGAATGAAGGTGCGGTGACATGATTCTCTGAAGCACTCCGACGTGGGGAGGGGGTCGGAGAGGAGTTTTTGGGGAGTGACATTTAAGTAGGAGCCAGTCATACAAAGATAAAAAAAAAAAAGAATGCAATCCAGGCAGCAACTCAACTAGTGCGAGGCTGGTTGAGCATGGCCCGTTCCCAGGCAGGGATGAGCAGGCTGGTGAGATGGGAGCCCGGTGTGGGAGAGTCTGGGGATGTGTATGATTTGGGGCGCAGGGTAGGGCTGGTGATACAGTTGAATCTTAACCCCTGGTACCTCTGGATGTTACGTTATTTGGAAGTGGAGCCTTTGCAGATGAAATCAAGCTAAGATGAGGCCATTAGGGTGCGTCCTAATTAACACGGACTAGCATCCTTATAAGAAGAAGAAAGTGTGTGTGACGGCAGAGGGACACCGGGAGAACGTGATGTGACTACAGAGGCAGAGAGTGGAGCCATGTGGCTTCAAGCGTAGGAATGCCAAGGGTTACGAGCCAGCACCAAAAGTGAGGGACGAGGCGAGGAAGGATTCTCTTTGGAGGGAGTGCGTCTCTCCTGTCACCCAGATTTTGGGCTTCCAGCCTCCAGAGCTGTTACAGAATCTGTTTCTGCTGTTTTCAGCCGTCTGGTTTATTGTACTTTTAAGGAAGTGGAGTTTTATTCTGGCTGTGAGAGATAACTTCTGGAGCCTTTAAGTCAGCAAGGGTGTAGTATCATTGGAATTACACGTGGGGAATGTGGGTCCGTGGTCTAGAGGAGGACTGATGCAATAAAAACAAGGAAGCCAGTTACGGGTGCGAGATGTTGGTGGCCAGAAACGGGGGCGCAGCAGCGGCCTGGGTGAAAATGCACAGGCTCAGAAAATATGTTTTCTTGCTGGAGGCAGACCAGCAAGACTTGCTGGTGGATTAGACGTGGGAAATGCAGGAAGGAGACGCTTTGAGGACACATCTGGAGTTTTGGATGGTCTGTCAGGTTTCTTAAGGCTCCTAAGGCTCGTGGAATTTGGGAGGCCAGTGTTTCCGTGTCTGGAGGTGCCATCGGTTTGCCGAGTGGCCAGGAATGAATGTGGGTATATCAAAAAATGTCACACCCATCTGTTCGGCTCCTGCAGGGGAGCCCAGGGGCAGGTGCTGGTGACCCCTACTCCAGCTGCCAAGCAGGAGTTAATAATTCCCTCACGTTTGTCTCGTCAATGCATATTTTCTCTTTGGCCCAGAGAAGTAAAGTGGCCTTTGAATTTTTGGGTTTTTTGTTTTGTCTTAAATCACTGTCTCCGGTTTATGATGGGTTTCTCTGAGCCTTATTGTATTAATCATTGACTAAATTTATTGGGGATGGATTAGCTTCGTGATTGCTCTGCAGGGAGATAAACGCAGTGCATTACGATGAAAGCGAACTACAGGAAAAAACAGTCACTGATCTGAAGCGGCGCTTTGGGCTCCCCGAGTGACTGTGGTGTGGTTCGTGTTAGGGAAACTTCTTGGCCTGGAAACCTAGGGGGTCCTTGACTGGTGTGGACCTTGTTGGGGAAGATACGATACAGACTGTCTTCATCAGTTCGGGCTGCTGTAACAACAATAGCACGGGTCGGGAGGCTCACTCAGCAAACCCTGATTTCTCCCAGTTCTGCAGGCGGGGGCCGAGAGACCCGCCGTGTACCGAGGGCCCGCTCCCTGGTTCGCATTCTGCGCTCACATGGCAGAGAGCAGCGAGAGAGGAAGCAGGCAGGCCCTCTGGGGTCCCCTCCTGGGAGGGCTCTCGTCCCACTCATGAGGGTTCTGTTCTCATGACCCAATCACCTCCCAGTGGCCGCGCCTCCAGATACCATCCCATTGGGGATTGAGTTGCAGAATGAATTTTTGGGGGAGGGGGTGGGAAATAAACTCAGTGCACAGCACCGATGTTTTCTGTTTCACACACACCAGGGCCCTCTGAAATCTCAGACCTTGCTCCCACTCTAGGAGAACAAACGTCAGCCTCCTCTGGGCACCAGGGAGCCCCTTCCTGCTTCGCAGACAGTAGTCTGAAGGGAGGCCCGGGCATCCCAGACTGGCGTTTGGCCTTCACTGCGGCACAGGAGATTCGGGCGCGTGGACGAGGTTTGATCCGACCACTGTCTCTGGGAGGACGGGGTATTGCCGAGTGGCCGAGCGCACACGCGCAGGTCCAGCTGCCCGGGCAAGGTTCATATCTAAGTCATTCTGGCTGTCATCTTTTTTCCCTTGGGGAACTCACTCGACTCCTTCCAACCCTAATTTTATCGTCTGTGAAATCAGGTAATGGTGGAACGTAGGCACAGATTCACTGCACTCACAGACCTGGACACACAGGATGCATTTGGTCCATGCTACCTTGATCAACTGGTTAAGCCGGTGATGGAATTCCTGTGGGAAAAGTGCATCTCAGGTTCCCAGCAGCCAGTTACTATCTGAGCTTTTCGAACAGGACTTGCCGTGGGTCAGGAACTCTGCGTGCCCGGACCTTGTTTGTCCAGTCATTTCCCCGATGAGGCTGATAACGTAGTCTCTTAAGGAGGAAAGTTTGGAAACATTCTAACGCGGCCTTGGAAGATAGGGAAGAAGTTTCGAGATGTGACAAGGTGTTATCTGTACGTACGTGACTGTGTGAAGGGACAGAGAAGCTGTGTCCACACGAAGCTGGCTGTGGGAGGGCCAGGAGCTCCTCCCTCCTTAGGACTTGGGCCTCTGCTGATTCGTCAGAGCACTGGGTGCCCCGGCCTTCTAGGGGGTCTGGTTTTCTACGGGTCTGCGGGGATTCATCCTGCCTGGCATGGCCGCCATGATGGGATGTTGTTACTCGTCTCAAGACAGAAAGACTGCACTAACCCTAGTTGATGTAACGGTGCCTTTAGGATGGGGACTGCCTGTCCTGAGAGCACAGAAATCCCTTAGTCCCGGGCAGTCCCAGGCTGCCGAGACTGTGTATTTCATCGATTTATCCATCCTCACCTGCCTCCAAATTGGGGTGGGTGTAAGGTTAGAATGGCTGTGTGTTCTGCAGAAAGGTCAGGGGAGTGGGGAAGGCAGCACAGACCCCGGCGCCTTCTAGTAGACTTCGTGCTTCTTTCGAGGCACCGTCTCTTCTGCTTTGGAGAGCTGAGTGCTCTCACTAGAGGTCGCCCCCCCCCCCGGAAAGCCTGAGGTCATGGCACACGGAGCCCGACACTGTGTCTGTTTTTCTCTGGCTAAGCAGGCGTTGAGGGAGCACTGGGGTCTATTGATACAAGAGTCCAAATCCCAGAGCCCCTTTGGATTTAGTTGCGGTTTCGGGGAAAGGTTTTGGTTCAGTTGTGGTATCTTTCCTGTGATGTGGCTGCCACTCCAGACTTTGAGGCGACAGAGTCTCAGGAAAGTCCCGTGGTTCTCTGAGTAGTTGGGCTCGTCCGATTTATTTATACTCATTCTCTGTTTGCGGTGGCAGCGCTGGGCCTCATCACCACCTGAGGTCCTGGGGAAATGAACTGAAGAAATTGACCGCCATCGGCAGATGGATGGTCCTTGCCCAGAGATGGGTTGATTTGAGTCTTGCCAAGCTCATCAGACGCAGAGATGGGTGCTTATAATGGGCTGAAGGCCTCTGGATTCCCGCTTTTTGGACAGGATTGGCGGTCGCTAGGGAGATCAGGAGGCAGTGGGGTGGCTGTATTGGCATCTCTGTTCAGTCTTTCAACGTGACGTCACAGCAGTCTCTGTAAGTTCTCCCAAGGATTTCTTCCCACTGTAGAACTATAAATATGAAGAGCAGAGACTACCCAGTGTATTCTTAGGTTATTTTAGAATAAAAATGCTGGTGGGCAGGGTGAACGTCTGATGGTAACTTTCCCTGTTGGTGAGGAACCCGTGACCCCGAGATGGGAACCCCCCTGTAGTGGGTCCCTGAGCTGTAAATCAGCCCCGTGAGACCTACCGTGATGGGGAAAGGAAAGAAGTGAGTTCCCGTGTTGAGAGAGACGTCAGGAAAGAGGAAGACAGCAGCAGTAGCATGAGATTGTTCTAGAATAAGAGTTAGTCTTTTTCTGTAGAGAGCCAGATGGTAAATATTTTAGACAGGTAAAATGGAGGGTATTGTATACAGGGGTGGGCAAAAGTAGGTTCATAGTTTTTGTGTGGGAAAATATGTAATATATAAGAATAATTATACAAAAATAAACTTTCGCGTACTCAACTGTAAACCTACTTTTGCCTACCCCTATAGGTACTAAATATAAAAAAAAGGAAACCAGTGTATACATCATATTTATTGGCAAAATTCAAAATGTAATAATAATTGAGTATTTTCTTTTGCAGTACAGGCCTACTAATGAGAACAATGGAATTCTGTGTGGGGGAGAGAACGTTTCACGTAACCGGGGTTCAGAGTTACTGTTCTCTCTCCGCAAATCAGTTACAGATGTTCACCTGGGAAAACCAGTCTTCACCTGCGGGCTGTACAGAGACAGGTAGTGGGCCGTCGTCCGCCATTGCTCGTTCTAGAGCCAGTCGCAGGCACACTGCTGCTGATGGTGTCACATAACATGTGTAGACTGTTGACCACCTGTCAGACACCAGGCTGAGTGTCCTGCCTTTATTATCTCGTTGGGTCCTTCAAAAAACCCAGTGGTAGAAGTTATTAACTGTTCTTGTCGTTTCATAAAAATGACAAGAAAGTGAGAATTAGTGGGGCAGGCACTTGCCCCGGATTGTCCGTTTGTAAGCTGCAGGAGGACCTATGCCTGGGTTTGTCTGAATTCAGAGCACAGAGTTCGTAACTGCCAGCCTAAGGCGTCCGTCCCAAAGGGTCGAGACCTGAAACTGACAGTGACCGAGGCCGTGATAAGATGCTGAACCTTCGTAACAACTCCGTATTTTTATTTCTTCGCTGTTTTATTTTTGTTTCCTCCCCCATGTGTCTCTCTGAATGATTGCCCCTATTTCCTAGTAAGCAAAAAGTGCTGGAAGTTTCTATTTAGGAATAGCAAGGATGTGGAGAGAGAGGTGAGAGGGAAAGTCTCCTTCTTTGTAGTGAGTCAGAGGAGGGGGAGGACCCCAGAGAATCAAGAAGACGGTGTCAGCTTTCACTGGGGAGCAGACTTACTCAAGCAGCCTACAGATGAGCTGTAACCTTTAAATATGTGCTTCAGGAGGGAGGCCCTTCAGGTCCTTTCATTTGATTTTTTTGTCTTAGCGCGTCTGCTGGCCTGTTTCTCATCTATTTCCTGTATCCAGCTTCATTTCTTGCTGAGAATTGTGCTGGTCAAAAGCCCCTCCCAGCCAGTGTCTGGGGGTCCACACTGTCCATGCCAGGCCCCAGCAGCCCTCCAGACCGCCCTTTGGAAGACCCCGGCTGTCCAGTCTCACATGCCGCCTTCACTGGCCCAGGCGTGGCGATCAGTACTGGGGTGTCACCTTGTGCTTAATTGGGTGCCTGCCAACTGTGGGCACGCCCTCAGACTTGCCGGTCCACATACCTAACCAGCTAGCCAGCAGCAGTGAATGGGGCAGTGGAGCACCTCCCAAACCACAGTGTAACTTCTTCTCCAGACCTGCTGTGGGAAGTGACATGATTCTAACAGATCGCTGAAACTCTTCGGAGCCAGCCCCGACTGGACCAGCATATTGCTAAGACTCTTGTCCTTAGAAACCCACAATGGGTTCAGACGCAAGTGAGGCAGATGGTGTACTTAGAGGGGCTCTGGAAGACCCTTCACCTCCCCTCATTAACTCTTCCCAGGGGTCTATTTCTGCTCAGAATTCTTCAGTCATAGACTTAGTCCTTGGGCAGGCATTACCCTTCCTGGATTCTTCTTCGAAGGAAGCCTCTGGGAGAGGTTACACACTAAACTTTAGACTTCGGTATAAATGGGTGTTAGAGACATTCTTTTCATCCAGGTGGGCGTGGCCTCTCTGGTGCACCGGGTACCAGCAGTGGGAGGGCATTTCTGGGGACGAGAAAGAAGTTGAGTGGGAGGGCATTTCTGGGGACGAGAAAGAAGTTCAGAGGAGCGAGGGGAACGAAGAGAAGACCTAGCCTTTATCAAGTGCTTTCAACAAGCAGGCATTGTTCTGGGCTCTGTACCGTACTAACACCTTTCGTCGTCACCACGAATGGGTTCTGGTTTCTCTCCCATTTCACAGATGAGGAAGTAGAGGCTGAGAGAGGTTAAGTAATTTGCCCTCATCTTTCAGTGTGAAAGGGGGTTCTGTGAGAGTGCTCTCTGGGAGATCGCACAGGACTCGGCGAGTAACGAGAGTGCAGCAGAGGTACCCAGAGCAAGATCAGCAAAGGGAAAAGGCCCAGGGGGTTAAGACCAGGGAACACCAGGAACAAGCTCCCCAGAGCGCTCTCCCCGTGGAGTTCCACGGACACGCTTAATTCATCTAGCAGTGAGTTGTGGGAACGTGTGTGAAATGGCGTGTACCGGGAGGCATTAGAGAGACTGGGCACCCGGGGTGTTTACGGGGGGGCTGGTCACGTTGGTCCTCTGCCCAGCATGTACCCAAATTCTAGACTCTCAGCAGGAAAGCAGGAGCTTGGCATAAACCACGCCATCTGTACAGACAGTCCAGGCCCAGTGAGCGCCACTCTTATCAGTTCTGGGAGTGGTGGGAACCCTCCTCAAATCCAAGTTCCCAATCACCAGTCAAGGCCAACCTTGCAAGCTGGCCCTTCGAAGGAAAGCAGACTCAGGCCTGCTACGTTAACTCTTGAAGGCATAGATACCATTTCCACTCACCAGCCTTTTTGAAAAGGAGCAATTTGCATTTTCTTTTTTCTGTAAGGATCGATCCCCGTGATCAATCAGACATAATCGCTCAGGGTTAAATGAGAGAATCCATAAGGGCACTTAGAGGAGCATTTGTCATAGAGGAAGTATTTGATAGATATTGTCATCTTTATTGGCTGCTTCCTGATCATGTGTGGACTGTTAGAGCTGGGAAAGGGCTCAGATGAACCCAGGCCTTTCCCGTCCCCTCTGTCGTTCCCAGGTGGCCCGTACGAGGTGGAAGTCAACATCTCCACCACTGGCAGGCTCCCCAACGGCACCCTCTACGCAGCCAAGGGCTCCCAGGTGGACTTCAGCTGCGCCAGCAGCTCCAGGCCTCCGCCCATGGTCGAGTGGTGGTTCCGCGCCCCGGATTCCAGGACCGAGCCCTTTGGAAACAACCTGACGGTCAGCTCCTTCACGCTGCTGCTGATGTCGCAAAACCTCCAAGGGAACTACACCTGTTTGGCCATGAACATGCTCAGCAGGAGGCATCGAAAGGTGACCACCGAGCTCCTGGTCTACTGTGCGTAAGAAGCACTCCCCTCCCCGACTTCCTCACCTTGTCCCTGTGTCAGCTCTGTGTCGTGCCCCTTTTGTCTACAAAGGCTTGTTCGCTGTATGGGTCCTGACATGCTCCTGCAGCTCCCTCAACTCACGTACACACCCAGGGCTGCAGGTCAGAGAGGGAGTCGCCGCTTCTAGAAGGTTGCTGTAAGTAAGGTACAGGACAGTCACTGTGAGCCACAGGCAGAAATTAATGCCTAGCTTAATGCTTTCTTTAAAAAAAAAAAGTTGAAGTGAAAGTACATAACATAACATCAACCATTATAAAGTGTGAAACTCTGGCATTTAGTACATGGACGGTGTTGTGCCACCGTCACCTCCGTGTCATTCCGAAACAGTTTCATCGCCCCAAATGGAAGCCCCATATCCGTTAAGCCTTTCCCCCAAGCCCCACCTCTCCGAGTTCTGTTTCTGTGCATTTCTGTGCGTTTGCCCATTTTGGACATTTCATATAAATGGAATCACACAGTATGCGCCCTGTTGTGACTGGCTGCTCTCCCTTCGCACCGTGTTTACAAGGTTCGCGCCCACGTTGCCGTGTGAGTCATACTTCGTTTCTTTCTGTGGCTGAATAATGTTCTTTTGTGCGGAGGGACCACGATTTGTGACTTCATTCGTCTGTCCTCGCGCATTCTCCTCATGAACCCTGGGCCCTCTAGCACTGTTGGGAACCAGGAGGTCATGAACCTTTATTTTGGGGGTGAAGGCACAACCACCACATGCACCTCTGTGCAAGTTTCTTGGACAAGAACAGCTGTAGGGAAGCAGAGTGCGCTCACACTCCGTGCTGGGGAAAGGGAGCATCAGAACAAGTGAGCGGGCTGGCTGACGACACATGACTAATTCATTCATCATCCAGAGCCCGTGCAGGTCTCTCTCACACATGATGTTTACGTGTATAAACTCATACGTGCTTGTCGTGGGAAACACAGATGAGTGTAAAGAAGAAACGAATCACTTGTACGCTAACCATCATTTTTGGTATATTTCCAGTAAGATTTCTTCCAGACACCACATACTTACCCATTAATGTAAAATCCACATTTATTTCTCTGTGTGTGTATTATGAAAAATGTATGGTAATACACACATATAACGTAGTATGCATATATAATATATGTAAATTTATGTAGAATTATTAACACATGTATTGCATTGGATTTATTGGTTTGTAACTTGTTAAAATTTTGTGTGTTGCCCTGGCTGGTGTGGCTCAGTGAATCGAGTGCTAGCCTGTGAACCAAAGGGTCACCAGTTCGATTCCCAGTCAGGGCACATGCCTGAGTTGCAGGCCAGGTCCCAGTGTGGGGGGGGTGTGAGAGGCAACCACACACTGATGTTTCTCTCCCTCTCTTTCTCCCTCCCTTCCCGTCTCCTTAAAAAATAAGTAAATAAATAAAATCTTTAAAAAAGAATTAAAAAATAAAAATAGATAAAATTTGTGTATTTTTAGTAATACATGGACACAGTAAACGGGAAACACATGGGAGAGTAACACACGTGACAGTGAATAAGTCCCACCTGTGGTGCCCTCTGGGGATCAGAACTGTCCAGGAGAACTTTCTGTGGTGACGGAAATGCCTTATTCTGTGTAGTCAAACACAGTCACCACCGACCACATGTGGTTTCTGAGCACGGGAAATGTGGGTAGTGTGATGGAGAAACTAAATCAACCATTTTATTTTATTTTATCAATCTATACTTCAATAGCCACCCAGTTAGTGAGAAATGCAGAGGTAAGTCAGGCCCATGCCCTCGGAGACCGAACACCCGGCAGAGGAAGCCTGCCTGTTGTCAGTCCCCAGTTTGTGCTGGGAGCTACTTTGAGGTACAGGACCTGGGTGCAGGTTTCTCTGACCTCCTGGTTCTGCAGTCCGTAGTCTGCCATCAAGCCCTCATTGTACGCTGGTGTTTTGCAGCGCCCCCTCTGTCCGACTTGGAGTGCTGGGCTGAAATGTCACCAGGATTGTCCGTGCTGCAGCTCACCTGTCGCTGGGACGGGGGATACCCAGACCCTTACTTGGTGTGGACAGAAGAGCCAGGAGGTGCGGTCGTGGGGACCTCAGGCCTGGGAGTGGAGACGCTGAACCGGTCCCAGCTGTCAGATGGCAAGAAGTTCAAGTGCATTGGGAGCCACATAGTGGGGCCGGAGTCGGGAGCCAGCTGTGTGATTCAGATCCGTGAGTCTGTCTTGCCTTGTCCTGGGGTTGGGGTCCACTCACTGTCTTCTGGGAGAGCCATTTGGAAGAAGGTCTGGGAAAGAAATAGAAGGAAGTCAGAATGAACCAGATTCCTTCCGTTTCTTCCATTCTTTTGCGTTATGTTTCCTTTCAAACTGTGAATGTACTGAACCAAGCTGCTTGGTCCTAATCCAAGCTTTTTTCAGGGATTTTTCCTAAATATTTTATTTATTTATTTTTAGAAAGAGGGGAAAGAAGGGAGAAAGAGAGGGAGAGAAACATCAATGTGTGAGAGAAACTTTGATCAGTTGCCTCTTGCACGCCCCAGCCATGGACTGGCCCACAACCCAGGCCTGTGCCCTGACCGGGAATCAAACCGGCGACCTTTTGGTTCGCAGGCTGGCACTCAGTCCACTGGGCTGCACCAGCCGGGGCCCACTTGACAAATACTAATTAAGCACCTGCTATGCACCAGGCGCAGGGTCTAGGTGCTGGAGGTGGAGCAAAGAAGACACACACTTTTATTTATTAGTTATTTTCTGTTATGTAGCAAATTATCCCCCAAACTTAATGGCTTAAAACAATAAATCACTTATTACCTCACAATTTCTGTGGGCCAGGAATTTAGACAGGGCGCAGTGGGGATGGTTTGTGCTGGTTTCATGATGCCTGGGGTCTTAGCTGCAAGACCCAGCCCGGGGCGGGGGGGGGCTGAACTCTCTGAACTCTGAAGGATTCAATTCCGAGGCGCTCACTGTCGCACCTGGCAAGTAGCTTCCTCTCCAGGTGGGACTCTCCAGGTGGGACTCTGCACGGGGCTCCTTCAGTGCCCTCACAACATGGCGGCTGGCCTCCCCCAGAGCAAGCGATGCAAGGAGGAGGAAGCCAGGTAGATGCTGTCCTTTCTGTGACCCAGCCTCCAAAGTCACGTGGCATCCCTTCTGCCACATTCTGTTCATCAGCAGGGAGTCACTCAGCCTGGCTTCCCTTCCAAGGAGACTGGGGAGAATTAGTCAACACCTAAAAGAAATTTTTTCTTTAAAGATTTTTACCTTTTTTTTTTATATTTTTTTAATAGGAAATATATTTTTAAAGATTTTATTTATTTATTTTTAGAGAGGGAAAGGGAGGGAGAAAGAGAGAGAGAGAGAGAATCAATGTGTGGTTGCTGGGGGTTGTGGCCTGCAGCCCAGGCATGTGCCCTGACTGGGAATCAAACCTGCAATGCTTTGGTTCACAGCCCAAGCTCAATTCACTGAGCTGCGCCAGCCAGGGAGAAATTTTTTTAAAGGCACCCCTTTTTGAAGAGAGGAATGTCAAAGAATTTCTGGACATATTTTTAAAACCATTACTGTTCCTGTTGCATAGAACTTAAATTGTTCTGGGTGGAGTGCAGGTGGGAAGAAGGAAGAAAATGCAAAATACAAAAATAAGGAAGATTCAGACAGAGTAATTCTAAGGAGAATAAAATGGTGTGGGTAAGAGGGTCTGGTACAGGGAGCGTGGCAGGGAGGTCCTTGTGGCAGTAATACAGGGTGGGACAAAAGTAGGCTTACAGTTATGAGTACACAAACACGGAGTTTATTCTTGTATTATCCCATATTCATTGTATTCCATGCGAACAACTGGAGACCTGCTTTTGCCCCACCCTTGAACTGAGACCTCAAGGATGAGAAGCAGTTGCCCAGGTAAAGACCTGTGAGCTGAGTATTAGTGGCAGAGAGGACAGCAAATGCAAAGGTCCTGAGGTGGACACATACTTGGCATTTGAGGGACAAAAAGAAGATCAGTATACCCAGAGCATTGAGCTTGAGGTACCTACGAGGCTAGGTGCATGTGGTAGGCTGAATTTTGTCTCCCAAAAAGATATGTTCAAGTCCTAACCCTGGTACCTATGGATGTGACCGTATTTGGAATAAGGGTCTTTACAGATGTGATTATGGAAAGAAAGGTGAGGTCATACTGGATTAGGGTGGGCTCTGTTCCAGTGACTGGTGTCTTTATAAGGAGACAAAAATTTGGACCCAGACGCACAGGGAGAATGCCAAGGGTTGACGGAGGCAGAGATTAGAGGGATGCGTCCACAAGCCAAGGACTGCCGGTGATTGTTGGCAACCACCAGAAGCTGAGAAAGGGGCGTAGGAGAGTTTCTGCTTCAGGGTCTCTACCAGGAATCAAGCCTGTCCACACCTTGATTTTGGACTTGTAACTTTCTGAACTGCGAAAGACTAAACATATCCGTTGTTTACGCCACACAGTGGGTGGTACTTTGTTACAACAGCCCAGGAAACAAATACGATGGGTAAGCAAGGACCAGACCACGCTGGGTTTTATGGGTCGTGGTGAAATTTTCCTCCCAGTTTATCAGGGCCATCTGCAGAGCTGCGGCGTAGAGAGCTGACGTGCCGGGAAGGGAGCCCGGCCGTGTCAGGAGGTGCTTGTTTTCCTGCTCAAGTGACCTTCAGTGGTAGTCAGCGGACATGCCCCAGGGGTCCCCTCTGCTCCAGGTGGTGTACTTGGCCTTGGGCAACAGGACAGATCGAGACTTGCTTTTCTGGGCTAGAGCAAGAATAAGCAAACTGTGTCCCGTGGGCCAAATTGGCCCAGGTGGGTTTTTTTGCAAGTTTTTAAAAATGAGATATAATTTATGTAAATAACCTTCATTATTTTCAAATGTGTAATCTGGGTTGTTTTTTTTTTTTAAGTATATTCACAGTGGAGTCACCACTATCTAATTCCAGAGCATGTCCATCACCCTGAAAAGAAACCCCGCGTGCATCGGCAGTCACGCTCTCTAGAAAGACTAAGAGAGTTCTCATCTCCCACCGTTGCTCCTGACGTTAAGTGCTATCGTAGAGTTTTTACATTTTCCCTATTTGCTAGTTAAGACATAGCATCATTGACTTAATCTGAGTTTCTCTGATCATTAGCAGGGTTGATAATTTTCATGTGTATTGGCTCCCTATATATCAACGGTGAATTATCTGTTCGCATTTTGTCCATTTTTCTGTTGAGTTGTTCCACCTTTTCTTATTTCGTAAGAGTGCTCTACAGTAACTGTGTTAGTCAATTTCACAGAACTGTCTACGCATGTCATAGATATTTTTCTGGTACATTTACTTCTGAGGTACATTCGTGGCTTCCGTGATAAGCAGTTTCTGATTTCGAAGGAGTCACCTCCGTCCTTCTTACTCTTACAGGTTTCTGTGCTCAGAAGGTCTTTTCCTGTTCGCTGATTATTAACATGTCATGTGTAATCCTTACAATAGCCTGAACATTAGACAGGATGACTCGTAAGTGGCAGATGAAGACACTGTAGGCACTCACTCACCCAAATCACCTAGCCTATAAATGCCTGAGCCCTCACTCAGTCCAGCCTGGCCTGACAGCGGAGCCCCCGACCCCCCTGGAACCACTGCCTCCTGTGGGGTCTCCCTCCGCAGCTAACCCAGCCAATCTTTCTGGGCAGGAGTTAGATCCTCAGCATGCTGTCAGGCACTGTAGAGGCATACAGAATGGTCACCACCAAAGAGAGAGGCCTGAGGAGTGTGGAACAGGGAAACGGCAATGTTGCAGTATTAGTGACATGAACATTTATCGGGTGCAAACTGTAAGGTGCTATGCGCCGTGTTCTCCCCATACAGTGTGTTTGCTCCTCGTAAAAACCCTGAAAGCCAAAAGCTTATATTAGGGCGTGTGTTCGTTTCCTGGGGCTGCCATAACAAAGTTCCACACATTTACTGGCTTAAAACCACAGAAACTTACTTTGTCGTGTTTCTGGAGGCCAGAAGTCTGAAATAAAAGTGTTGGCAAGGCCACACTTCCTGCGAAGGCTCCCGGGGAGAGTTCTTTCTGGCCTCTCCCGGTTTCTGACAGCTCCAGTCATTCCTTGGCTTGCGGCCGCATCGCTCCAGTCTCTTTCTCTGTCTTCACACGGCCTTTCCCTCCCCGTGCGTCTCTCTCCGCTCCTCTCCTCTCGTGAGACGCCCGTCACTGCACGTAGGCCCACCCTAAATCCAAGACGATTTCATGTAGAGATTCTTAGCTAATTAACTACATTTGCAAAGACCTCATCTCCAAGGAAGGTCATAGTCGGGTTCCAGGAGGACATGTATTTGGGGAGGATGCTACTCAGCCTGCTAATGCTGCGTTTTATGGCTGGGAAGCAGAGGCCGTGGACCATCCCCGCCTCATGCGGTTGGGAAGGAGCACACGCATTTCGAGTGGTACGTGGTGCAGACTCCTGAAGTGTGTTCTGGACAGCGAGTCCCCGAAAGTGAACATATGATGGACGGATGCTGAGAGGGCAGGAATGGCAGGGGCAGTTGACAGGTTTTATGTCATTTTTTCCCCCATCCTTCCCATTGTTTTTTATCCTCACCCAAGGATATGTTTATTGATTTTAGAGGCAAAGAGTGGGGGGCGGGGGAGAGAGAGAAGCATCAATCTGTTTCCTCCTGTACACACCCTAGATGTGTGCCCTGACCAGAAATCAAACCTGCAGTCTTTTGGTGTACAGGATGATGCTCCAGCCACCTGAGCCACCCAGCCAGGGCCCCCTTCCCAATTGTATTTGCAGATCTTACCCGAGTCACCATTGCTGTGGCCCCTCAGACTGGGCCGGTGGTTTGAATCTAAAAACAGGGCAGGGCAGAAGTAGGTTTACAGTTGTGAGTACACGAAACACAGAGTGTCTTTGTATAAAAACCTCCTTCTGCCCAGCCCTGCGTGTGCTCAGGCTTAGGAAGTGTTTCTGGAGAAGGGAGCTGGCAGGAAGTTTTCCTGATTCCAGGAGCACAGGCCGCAGGCACAAGAGCCTGGAACCTTCTCCACTCTGACATGGTCCAGTTTCCCTCTCTTCCCTCACGGGCACTCAAGCCCAGCACTTCTCGGTCCTTGGTGTGCGTGCGGGTCACCTGGGGACCTGGTGAATATGCAGGCACACTCGGATGCTCTCGGTTCCGGGCGGGCTCTGCCCTTCTAACCAGTTCCCAGGAAGTGCTGGTGCTGCTGGTCCACAGACCACACTTTGAGTAGCAAGGCCCTTGGGGGAGAGGGTTTCTGGAGCATTATTCCACTCGGGAGGAGTGTTAAGGCATTGAAAGTTAGTGCCGGTGTCCGCCAGAGGGGTGCAGAACGGCATAGCCCCTACAATGATGAAAACTGTTACTTTGGGGGATTCCTGCCTCTCAGATCTCTCCTTAAATGGCAGGTAGACCCTTCAACTGAAGAAAACGACTCAGTTTATGATAGGCTGCAGCATTAGCCTGCCCAGTATACCAAGGCCCCTGTATATGGTCTGCCTCTGGGAGATCGCTGAGGGCCCTGCATCCCCCACCATACCACCCCAACCCCTGAACCCACCCTTGCGCACAACATCATCTTAGGGAAAGCTTTGTTTGATAAATGCCACATCAGCTGGGTGGGTGACTCAGCTCTTTGAGGGGTGAATGCTGTGTTTGTCAAAAGGGTATTTATGTATGTGATCTTTGTTTGGGGGGCTGGGGAGTGCTGGCCAAATTGTTTGGCTTCTAATAAAGGGTGAGGGGGCCATCTCTCAGACTTTGGTTTGGGGGCTGCAAAATACAAACATACTGGGGCTTGTCACTGCTGCTGGCTTTGTGACCCCGAAGGAAATTCTGGTTACCCCCGGACGGGGAAGGTGCAATTTAGCACCATGGTGGGGGACCCCGACCGTGGATCCAAGAAGGGGCGCCACGTGTGCGTCCTGAGCAAGCCCAGGTTTGGGGGGGGTCTCCTTTGTTGACCCGACCTAGAGAGAGAGGCTTTTTGGTCTGCCCCACCCCTTCCCCTTTGCCCCCTTCCCTCGTCCGTCTGCCCAGGACACCAGCAAGAAACCCGAGATTCTCTTTTAGAATGACTGCCCAGGTGAAGGATGTAGTTTCGCTCTCCCATGTGGGAACCAAATATGCCACTCTGTGTTCCTCAGCTGCCAAAAATACGGTCTTAACAACCCCCGAGATGACTTTGTTAACCTTCCCAGGAGTTGTGCATGTTGGGAAACAGCTTCTTGTGCAAAGAAAGGCCAGCCTCACAGCTCCTCGTGTCCTGCTCAGTCAGCCCTCAAGGCCACGGGGACACCCTGTGCCTTTCTAGGACACAGCTGTGGTAGGCAGAATAGTGGTACCCCCGAGGATGCCCATTTCCTAACCATAGACCTTGTAGATATGTTACCTTCTACAGCCAAAGGGACTTGGCAGATGTGATTCAGGGTTTTGAGACGGGGAGGTTATCCTGGATTCTAAAACGGAGGCTGGACGGTCAGACTCAGTAGTGGGTGACGGGACAGCAGTTGCGAAAGGTTGGAGGGATGCACACACGGGGCCACCGGCCAAGGCATGCAGGTGGCTCCCGGAAGCTGAAAACCCAAGGAAACAGATTCTCCCCCAGAGCCTCCAGGAGGAACCAGTTCTGCCAGTACCTTGATCTAAGCCCAAGATCATTCTGGACTTCTGACCTCCAGCACTAGAAAAGGATAGTTCTGTTGTTGTATGCCACTAAGTTTGTAGCAGTTTGTTATAGCAGCAATAGGAAACGAATACGGCTGCCTTATTGTCCCCTCGAACACCCTTGTCAGGCTCGTTTTTTAAACATCATCATTGTGGTTGTTATACATAGAAGCCTACAGTGTAGCCGTAAGAATCGTGATCTATAAAAGCTCAACTGTTTGGGTTCCAGTTTTACATAGGCTAACCAGATGACCTTGGCTGACCTGAGACTTTCCCTCTTTTAGCATTGAAGGCCCCGTGTCCCAGGAACCCCCTTCGTCTTTGGCAAACCAGCATAGCTGGTTGCCCTAAATCCCAGCTGCATCGCTTGTTTAATTGTGTGACTTTAAGCAGGTTACTTTAACTTTCTCGTCTGCAAAGTGGAAATAATGGCAGGCTTGTTGTGAGAACTGATTGGGTTAATGTGTATAAATAACAGTGCCTAGCCCATAGCGGGTGCTCAGTACATGTTAGCTTTTATTGTTGTATAAGACCAGGTGTGGGACAGGAGCTCCTGGAGTTGCTTCATTAGGAAGGGAATAATATTTTTGAAAACCTTAGGCCAAGGCTTCAGTCTTCACAAGCATGTGTCTCTCTTTACTTTCTTTCCCCTGATCCCCAGGGAGCCCCTCCCTTCTCTCGGAGCCCATGAAGACCTGCTTCGTGGGGAGCAATGTGACACTCACCTGCCACGTGTCTGGAGCTTACCCTCCTGCAAAGATCCTGTGGCTGAGGAACCTCACCCAGCCTGAGGTGGTCATCCAGCCCAACAGCCACTACCTCATCACCCATAACGGCCCGAGCTCCACCCTGACCATCCAGAACTGCTCCCAGGACCTGGATGAGGGCTACTACGTCTGCCGGGCTGAGAACCCCGTGGGGGTGAGGGAAGTGGACATCTGGCTGAGCGTCAAAGGTGAGTGACACGAGTGGCTCCAGATGAGGAGTCTGAGAGCTTCATGGGATGTGGTACCAGCACGGGGACGCGTAGTGTTTCCCTGCATGTGGGAGAAGGCGTATCTGCTTGCTTGTGGCTTGACAGGATGGATGGGAAAATTAATGTCTAGTCCTAAATCTTTCATGTTTGCATAGGGATAAAAACTTCTTAATATCTGTAATATACTAGAGAATATCAGTTTGTATATGAAAAACGTATATAAGCCCTGGCTGGTGTAGCTCAGTGGATTGAGCGTGGGCTGCTAACCAAAGTGCCGCAGGTTCGATTCCCAGTCAGGGCACATGCTTGGGTTGCAGGCCATGACCCCCAGCAACTGCACATTGATGTTTCTCTCACTCTCTCTTTCTCCCTCCCTTCTCTCTCTAAAAATAAATAACTAAAATCTTTTAAAAAAGTACATAAATACAAAATATATAAAAATTAAAAACACAGAATGTAAGTTGTGAAGCATAATAGCAAAATGAAGATCTAAGAAACTACATCATACTAAAAATGTGGAACAGGGTCACTGTTGCTAAAGTTACCTGTATGTATTTGGCCAGATTTAGAAAACAGCCTCAAAACTAATAGAATGGGATACCCACTTAAATTTTCATTTCAGAAAAACAAAGAATAATTTTAAGTAGTATAAGTATCTCCCAAATATTGCACAAGGCATACATACTTACTCTAAAAAATTGTTGTTTTATCAAAATCCAGATCTAACTGGGTATCCTGTACTTTATCTTGTAACTCTACCTGTAGACCCCTTTTTAGTCTCCTAAAAAAAGGTAACCACTATCCTGAATTTCATGTTTTAGTTAAGAAAAAAAATTGCTACATATGTACCTGTTGAAATAATATGTTGTTCTTTATTTTTGTTTGAGGGTTTTTTAAAAGATTTTATTTATTTATTTTTAGAGAGGGAAGGGAGGGAGAGAGAGAGAAATATCAATGTGGGGATGCTGGGGGTCATGGCCTGCAACCCAGGCATGTGCCCTGACTGGGAACTGAACGTGCAACACTTTGGTTCGCAGCCCGTACTGAATCCACTGAGCTACACCAGCCAGGGCTGTTTCTGAGTTTTAAAAAAAGGGTGATTACCGTACAAATGTAGTCTCTTGAGACTTGCTTTTTTTACCCCACACTTTGTTTCTTGGAGTTATTCATACGGATGTGCACAATTATACTTTGTACCTCTTCACCGCTGTATAACTTTCCTTTGTGTCACTCACTATTACGCAACGAAGTGACTGATTTTCCTGCTGATGGATGGTTTCCAATTGTTTTGTTTTTTGTTTTGATGGACAAACAGTGTTGCTATGAAAATATTTTACCCAACCCCTGTGTGTACATACACCCAAGGTCCCCGGGCAAGTATTTCTCTTAAGATATGTACAAGGAGAGTAGAAATGAAGTGTCATGGGGTATGTGCATTTTTACCTTATGGGATAACTAACTAAACTGTCTTACAAAGTGATTATACCCATTTCCATTCACAACAGCAGTATGGGAGGGTCCTTGTTCTGCTTCTTCATGAGCAGGCTTTGTGATCCGATGCAAAATGGAACCTCATCACGGTTCTGATTTGAATTTCTCTGATTACTCAGAAGGTTGAGCATTATTTCATGTTTATTTGCTGTTTGTATTTCTTCAGTGAAATTCATACATACTTGTATCTTTTGATGTCTTACTCTTTCTTATAGATATGTAAGCATTCTTTAGAAATTCTGCATACTGATTCCTTATTAGCTTTATGTTGCAAATATCTTCTTTTAGTTCCTTGTTTGTCTTTTTCCCTTTCATGTTGTCCTTCAATTAGCAACCAGTCTTACTTTAATGTGCTTGATTTTATGAATTTCTTTTTATACCATTGGCAATTTTTGTCTTAGAAGTCCTTCACTGTCCCGTATTCACAAAGATATTAAATGTTTTGATGTTTTGCCTCTCACAGTGAAATCTTTAATCCATCTAGAGTTGATTTTTGTGAATGGTGTGAGGTCAGGATCAAATTCCCACCCCCCTGCACGCCCCCCAATTTGGATAACCATTTATTCTAGCACCATTTCTCATATACTTCCTCTCTTGACTCACTAATCTGTCATGTATCAAGTTTCCTTTTATGTGTGGGCCTGTTACTGGATTCTCCATTCTCTTCCACTGGTCACTGTTTATTGAGGCACCAGTAACTCACACTTAATTACTATGCTCTTATAAACACTCTGATATGTGGTAGACACATGGAGATTTTAACTTTCCACTGTTCTTTTATATCGCATGCTTGACTTGATTCCCACCAGCTGTTCCAGGTAGGGAGATGAGGTGTTTGTCCTGCTACACAGAGAGGTCATACGCCTTGCCCAACATCATGAAACCAAGATAAGGCTGGGACCCAGGCCACGGAGGGGAGGCCTGGTTCTCAACGGGCAGGGGGTGGGGGGTACTACTCTCATTGCTGCGTGTGTGTCAGGTGGAACAGCCAACGGTGTGATTTGTCTTTGCAGAACCTTTAAACATCGTGGGAATTGTGGGAACCATCGTGAGCCTCCTCCTGCTGGGAGTGGCCATTATCTCAGGGCTCATGTTGTATTACAGCCCTGTGTTCTGCTGGAAACGTAAGGGCGTCTTGGGTCCTTCGGCTTCTCTTCCAGGCTTTTTGCCAGGGTGTGGTGGGGGGGAGGCGGCCCCTGTGTGGCTCCCACCTGAAGCCCCTTCTATAGGCTGCTTCCTTGGGTCCAGGTGGGCGATAATGAAGCCCCTCAGTACCATCCAGAGCACCCTGTCCCCTCTCGTGTTGGGTCAGTTTTCTCATTGTCCTTTCTTTCGTAGATGTCAGATTGATTAAAAACTTTTGGGAGGGTAACGTCGATGTTATTTGAGACTGATTTTTTTTTCTTTCTCTCTTTAGTAGGAAACACTATCAGGTGAGTGTTCCCTAGACTCAAGTCAAAATACCTTCTCCATGATCTGTCTTCACTGCTGTTTTGTTTCCTTTCATAAGAACCCTAATAGTCTCTAATCTTGAGGACCACCCAGTGCCTGCACTGGGCTGGGGGCTTCATTAGGCCTTTATCATTGTAAACTCATAAAATCTGCGTTTTCAGGGAGATCGAGGCTCAGTAGTTTCCACAGTCTCATCCAGGAAGCAGAGGGCGGTGCTTGCATTCAGACCTAGATCTGACCGGTTCCAAAGTTCACATTCCTTTTGCAGTGCTAGACCTCAGGGTGGGGCACGTCGCTGGGCTGTCATTGAGGCACAAAGCCCAGGTATTCGTGCATTTATTTTACCTCATTTTCTCGAAAGAGCTAAAAGGAAGAGTAAGTCATATTCTTACCGCATGTTTGGAAAGACTAGTTTGAGCATGCCTTGAAGCCCTTCCTGGTAGGAAACCTCAGTAGGGGGGCAAAGTAACTAAACGGAACTTGGGTGTTTTATTCCATACGGAGATTCTGAGTGGGAGCAAAGAGCTCTTCTGTGTTTTTCTTTACTCGTTAGTAACTGTGGGATATTACTGTTCTCAGAACACCATTCATAATGAGGGGATATGGTTGTTTGGGGACCTTTTTTTCCCCATGGGAACAGTGTTACCTTTGCTGCCACACACCCGAGGGCCATTGCCCCGGTGAGTCCGTCATTTCCCAGGTGTGTTTCTCCCAGGAGGTAGCAGTGAGGCATAGTGGGAAAAGGCTTCGGAATGAGTGGACCTAGATTCAAATTGCAGCTCTGTCATTCCCAAGCCCTTTGCTCATGGAAGATCCCTGACCTTCTGGGAGCTTCTGTCTCCTCATCTTTTCCCAGAGGGAGACTGTGGGGATGAAATGAGAGTGTAAAGCTCCCAGGGCTGTGACTGGCCTGTGGTATGCGTTCCTCTTTCCTCCAGAAATGTCCGACTGGGTAGACAAAACCAGCAGTGAGCTCAGAGCAATTCAGTGCCGAACAGCTGGGCATGGACTCCAAATGCAACGATAGTTCAGGGCTTCGGGGGCCAGGAGAGGACTTTGGGCCTTGAGTAATGAGCAGGAGGAGACATTTCAGTTAGTGGAGCAGAGATAAGGGCGTTTCAGAAAATGCCCCTTGTGTACATGCTGCGAGGGGGACTAAGATGTCAGAGGCCTGGGACAATGAGGTCACCCTCCGGAGGAGCAGGACAAGAATAAAACTCACCCAGAAGAAGATAAGATTATCTGTAGCACTCTGTGACTGTGTCTCTTCGAGAGGTGACAGTCGCACTGTCACGTCATGACTTAGCCAAGTTGAATGCAGGAAGAGTGTTTCGTGTCACCAGAGGGGTTGCAAAGAGCCGAGTGGTTCCCATTCTGCCAGGGCTGATGTTGGCAAAAACAGGGCCTCTCCCTGACTATTTCTCCCCCTTTGGCAATTAGGGGACAAGACATGGCTGATGTCATGGTTTTGGTGGATGAGGAAGAGGAAGAGGTGGAGGAGGAGGAAGAATATGCTGCAGGACAGGAGGAGGAGGATGAGGAGGAGGAGGAAGCAGCAGCTGACAGGGAGGAATTGCCAAAAGAAATACCCAAGCACGTCCACATTCACAGAGTGACCGCACTGGTGAATGGGAACATAGACTGGATGGCCAATGGACTCCAGGCTCTGCAAGGTGAGCCCTCCGCCACCCCACACCTTTGTTTAAAAATGTTGTTTATTTTTAGAGAGAGGTAAAGGGAGGGGGAAAGAGAGGGAGAGAAACATCGATGTGCAAGAGAAACATGGATCTGGATCGGTTGTCTCTCACACGCCCCCCAAGCGGGGACCTGACCCACAACCCAACCATGTGCCCTAACCAGGAATTGAACTGGCAGCCTCTTGGTCGGTGGGATGAGGCCCAACCCACTGAGCCACACCAGGCAGGGTGAGCTCTATTTCCTTAAAAGCACTCCTGCTAGGGTGTGGGGAGATTCCCAGTAGGAAATCTCTACGTGCTTCCTCAAAGGCTGGGGAAGATAGTTAATCTGGAACCTGAGGTTCTTTTACCAACTGCCAGCGCAGTGATGAAACTGACGTTTACCCAGTGCCTGCTCCAGGAAAGGCCCAGTGTCGGCATTACTGGGGAACAGAAGAGACAGACAGAACATCCGATGCACAGGGAGCTTCAGGAGACCGGGCGGAGTGGGCAGACTGAAAGATGTGGGGGAAACAAAAACGGAGGCAAGATTTAACCCGCACTTTGAGAGAGCGGCAGAGGAGCTGTCACAAGGAGTTTGATTCATTGCCCGATGAGTGATGGGTTTAAAAATCACAGGACCTCAGGAGAAGGACAAGAACTTGAGGGGGGTGCGTTGGTCAGGAGAAGCCTAGTGGAAGAAGTGGGGTGTGAGGCAAGTCTTTGAGGACAGTCGAGCCTGAATAAGCCCGAAGGAGAGAGCGGGCGGGCGTTCCAGGTGAGCAGAATGGCCTGAGCAGGAGGAGGGGGGACGGTGTCAAACATGCCGAGAGGATGTTGGGTGGAAGGAGCAGGTGGAAAGGGAATGTACACCCTGTCTCCCCTGATCCTCCGGGAAACCCGATTCCGAGGCTCGCCATTGAGGGACTAGAAACGAAGGGGACTGAAGACGGATGGAAACAGGGTCGCCTCTATCGCCGTCACTCAGAGTCAGGTCTGCCTCTCCCTCCTGTGCAGACGACAGCGGTGAGCAGCAGAGCGACCTCGCTCAAGAAGAAGACAGGCCAGTCTGAAGGAAAGAGACGTCCTCCGTGGTCCTGTCTTACGAGCTCGGGAAGCTGCAGCGAAGAGGAGCTTTTCATTCGCCTTTGATGTGATTTGCACCCCTGCCTGAGGGCTTAAAACGGTTTGGGGCTCTCGGCAAACACGCACGCACAAACACACACACACTTTTTTCTTTCCATTTTTAAAAAAATTGGTTTGATTTGTTGTACCTTTTTAAAATGATGTTAGAAAGCTTTGGGAACCGGCAGCGTGGGGGGTGGGGAAAAGCTGCCTTTGGCATCTAAGGTGCCCTTTTGCGCTATGACCCCTGGCGCTATCCAGGTTGACTGATGCTGATTTGGGGGGAGCAGGAGTGGGAGGGGGCACTTGGCCTCAGTGCCCTTTGCCATTAAAGGTCGGTAACCAGCTTACCTCAGCACACAAGGGTATGGTGTGGGGTGATAGGGACACTTCCTTGATCACTGCCCAGGTGAGTCAAGGAACCGGGTAAATGTCAGCGCACTGGAAAAGGGGAGGAGGGGTCGCCTGCTGATGCTAGTCAGAGGGAAGCCGTGGGGTTCAGGTTTTTGGAGTGGAAGCGTCCAGACTTGAATCTGGGCCTTGCTACTTGTTTCTAGGGCTTGGGTGGGTTGCTTTACCTCTCTCCCCTGGGCCTCAATTTCCTCATCCATAAAATAGCTGAAGTCGCAGCTGCCTTACAGGGTTATGGTGAGGACTTTGAGACGTGAAAGTGCCTAGGAGGTGCTCCATAGGTGGTCGTTACCTTCTGCGCCTTCCCTAAGCGGAAGAAAAAATGTCCTTTGTAAGCTGTGAGCTGCTGCCTGGGCCCTTCATTCTTCTTTGTAGAATGGTTGCAGACGAGGGCATTATCAGAGCTCTCCTGATGTTTGCTTCCCTGGAAATACAATTCTTTTCGAAAGAGGTAGGGGGCCCGCAAGAGAAAGTGCCTTTCATTAGAACCTCGCCTTTTGCAAAGCTTCATATTTATACAAAAGCCTCTCGTATGATACACTATTAGCTTTTAGACCTTCCCATTCTTCCTTTCTCCGGTGACTTTGAAAGAAGGCAGGGGGAATGTTTTGTAAGGGAGTGTCTGGTGAGAAGTACTCCTTGGGCAGGCCAGTGCACCTGGCCTCGGTTTCTCCATCTCTGAAATGGGAAAACTTGTTTGCTTCTCTTTAAGGGTATTATGAAGATACACTGATTAATAATGCTACGTTTTGAATGCAAATAGCATGTGATGAGTTTAAGCTGCTGATGCTTCCAGTAGAACCTGTATAGTTTAGAGATACTTGCCCTGATTTAATTCAAATCTAAAAATGTCAGGGGTCTTATGTGCAAAGGGTGTGTGCTAAGCATAAAAATCTGACTTGAATTTGCATTCTTAATATTGCACATTCTGCTCTGATGGGCAAGACCTAGAGCTTGAAGGAGAACTTCCCTTCTCCAATAATGGGGACTGGAACTCCTAAAATGAGACACTGGTTATGTGCAAGGTTACCCTGCAGGGTGTGCCTGGGGTTGGTCTGTTTTCTTGAATGAAGGATGAAGGGACTAAACTGAGCAAGTCATTGGAAGTGAGTGAGTCCTGGCCCCAGCTGAGAACACTGGGGAGCTCAGGAGCTGGCTGCAGATTTGTATCTGTCAGGAATAGCTGTGAAATGCAGTCTCGTTGTCGGGCTGGTCTTTTGCTGCGTGGTGTCTCGTGTATGTAAACCACTCTAACCAGCCTAAGTTAGGGTCATTTACAGAACAGGATACTTAGGTTGCTTCTAAAGTTACGTAACCCTGAGCTCGTCTCTCCTTTAGAATCTTCCATGTGTTCCATCCCCGCCTACTTTGCAGAGGCAACGATATTTTCAAAAATGAAAGGAAAAGCTGTAGCAAAAATTCCCTAGCTGGGAACACAGGATGATTTTCAAGACCACTGAAATGTTTCTGCAATTTCCTCTTCTCTTGCACACGCACTTGATAGGTAGGAAATCTTCAACATAGAGTTTTTCCACTAGCAAATGGGGGCTTCAAGGTCTTGGTGCCAAACACTATAAACCCTGGACTAGCTGAGCTGTGACTATCCCCCCTTCTGTCTGAGCCCCGTGTACACATTAATGTGGCTGGGTCAGTTAAGAACCCAGATACTGCGGGTCTTCAAATTTTAAGGATTTTTTTTTTAAGAGTTAGAGGTTGTTTTTTTTCCTGTTTCAAGATGACCCATCCCCAAATCCACAAGCATGTTGACAAGGAATTACAGCCTTTGTGTGGCAAAGTCCAAGCTGTTACATTATGCTTTATGTACATTCTTATCTGGGTGTGCGGTGCACGCACAGACCAGCTCTCCTTATCAGAGCCAGGAAGGTAACTATTTCAGGGCTATCACAACGGCTGTTTCTTTCTTCCAAAACCTGGTGTGGACACTGGGGAAAGGTCTTCTGCAGTCTTGTAGCCTTGATATTAGCTCCACTTCTCACAAGCACATACATACAGGCTCTGTTACTGCAGCAGGAAAACACATGATGGAAAATTTCCATGACCCATGCACTGGAAACCTGGAAAATCATCCTTGCCTGGCAAAATGATGATGATGATGCAATAAGTGCCAACCGGTATTCTCTCCATGGGGCTGGCCAGGCTCTGCTGCAAAGAAAAATAAGCAGACCCTCTGCATTATTTACATTTTAATATTTGCTGTGGGGGTGGGTGGGTTGGGAGCAATTCATTCTGAGGTTATTATAATGGATGTTTTTTTAAAGATGATGCAATAAAGTTATTTTTTAAGTAAAAGCTTTCGTGAGCTTGATTGAGGCTTGATTAGTAAACCGACAGATTTGGGGAAATGGGTTTACCACCCCCCCTCCATTTTCTTTTTTTGTTTGTTTTTACTAGCTCTCCTACTATGGGTAACAACGGTGCCCTTGTTGCTATTCGCTTCTTTTCCCAGGCCGGTAGGCACTACCCACCCCCTAACACCTACCGAGACACCATCAGCGTTGGTAACCTCCCTGAGGAGGTGGCTCTTCTATGTTTTCCTCCCTACAGAAGGCTTTTTGCTCAGATGGCCAGCTTTGGAAGGGGCCCGAAGTCACCATGGAGAACACGGAACCGAGGGACCGGCGACTATTTAAATCCACCTTCCGGTCGCGGTCCTTGGTGGTGGTTTTGGAGATGCTCCCCGGCCGCCCACCTCCCCCGCTACCTGCGCCGCTCCCCACGATGTCCGTGCCCCCCCCCCCTCGAGTTGCCCACTCCTGTCCCTGTTCTAGGCCTTTCCTCTTAGGTCACCCCCCCAACTTTTTTTTTTTTTAACTAGACTCCAAGCTCCCTGGCTCTTGGGCAACGCCGTCCAAGAGGGGAAACTTCCTTTCCAAGCAAACCCACGTTTCCTACCGCAACCTGTTCCACCCCCCCACCCACGCCGTCTCGTCGGACCCAGCGCCCAGCGCGTTCACTTCCGCTCCCTGTGGTCCGCGAGCCCCCCCCCCCCAGGTCACACCCCCGTCCCCCAGCTCCTCCATTCATCCACGCCTTTCCCAACGGTGGGCTGCCGCTGTGCCCCTCGCTCGGCAGCCGCGTTCCTTCCATTTGTCCCCCAGCTTCTCTCTTCCCGGCTCCCATTTTTTACCAACAGCCCAGCCCTGGTCTCTCCTGGTGCCGCTTCCACTCGGCTCCCCGGCCTAGTCGCCGAGCCCTTTCACACGCTCGGCCCGGACCTCGTCCCCGCCCCCCCTCGCTTTCGGGCTCCCCAGTCCCCTTTCTATTGGGCCCCTTCCCACGCGGCGCCCCCGGGTTCCCCTCAGCCCTGCCCCACCGCGCGCTCCCCTTTTTCGCCCCTCCCCCTTCCCCCGTGCGAGGGCCCGGCCTGCGTCCCCCGCGACCCGGCTTCCCGTTCCTCCCTCCACTCCGGCTTTTACTCGGCTCAGCCTCTCCCGCTCCGCCCCGCCGTCCCCGTCCCCGGGCTGGCGTTCACCTGGGTCCCCTCCACGTTTTTCCCCTCAGCCAGCTCCCCAACCCCCACAGCCTGGTTTTCCTAAGCCCCGCTGTCCCCCCCCCCACCCCCCGCCTCGCCCGGGTTTCCCCCCCAGCTCCGTCCCATCCCACCTGGTTCCCCCCGCCCCGCTGGCCTCCCAGCCCCGGTTTCCCCTGAGCCTCGCTCCCCCCAAGTCCCGGGTTTCCCTGGGCCCGTCCCCTCCCACCCGGTTCCCCCTCCGCCCGCTCCCCCCACACCGCGCGGTTGGATCGAGCCCGCGCCCCGCCCCCCGCGCGTCCCCGCCCTCGCCCGCCGCCATGTGACGGGAAGCAGCTGATGGCCTCTCCGGGTGGCCGCGGGCTGGTCGGGGCCGCGACCGGGGCGGCGGCCGGGACGCGGGCCGGCGCGGGGACGGAATGAGGGCCGAGGGCCCGGGGGGCTGAGGCGCCCGCCGCGGGGCCGCGCGCGCGTCCTCCATGGAGGCCGGAGGTGAGTGGGGCCGGGGCGCTCCGGTTCCCGCAGGCGCCGCCAGGCCCGGTCTCCCGGGGGCGCGGGGCGGGCTCGGCCGCGGAGGGAGGACGAGGCAGGGACGCCGGGCCGGCGCGGTCCGTCCGGGCGGACGGCGCGGTGCGCGCCCGGCGCCCAGCTTTGTTTCACTTTCGCTGTCAGCGGCCACCCCGCCGGCGGCGGGACCCGGGGAGAGTGGGCCTCGGCGTGGCGGGGACCCCCACCCCCGGGAGAATGGGGGGGCCCTTGGCGGGATGCGGGGGGCGCCCAGTCTGCATGGGCGACGCCCGGAGGGGTGGGTGCCCAGGCGCCCGGTGCCCGCAGGTCCGGGCGGGAGTCGCTGCGCCCCTTCCGAGCGGCAGCCGCCCCTGTGCCCAGCGTCAGTGCCGTGTCTGCACGGCGGACGGTGAAGGTTCCTGCCTCGGCGCCGGCGGGAGCTTCCCCAGCCCCCCCTGTCGTGGCGGACGCCTGTGGGGGTGTGAGAGAGACGGGCGTTCAGGGGCCGCCGACTCGCGGGGGGCAGGGGGGGCCGATCCTGGGCGACTCGCGTGGCAGGTTCAGCGTCAGGCGCGGGGTGGGGGGGGCGAGGTGCACACCTGCCTCTGCCCTCC